AATCTTGCGCACTTTCTACAAGGCAAGTGAAAAATGCAAAAAAATTAAGTTCTACTTTAGCCTGCCGCAATTTTCGCTTAGTGTAGTTCATCACGATGATACGAATGTGATAACAATAAGAAAAATATTGATTGCATTTCAACTGCATTTGTTTTCCAACACAACAAATAAAGCAATGACGTTCTGCATGGTCGTCTTTTACGTCGCATTTTAGTCGTATAAATGTGGATGATAGTGCTTAAAAAATGTTTTTTGTCCTCCTTGATTTCCATTCAAACGTTTTCTCAATAATTTATTATCGCTAGAGAAGAGTTTCAGTTTTTGAAGGTTGATCACTCACAACTTGCTTATTTTAAAATCAATTTATACCCACCCATCACCACCCAAAAAAGCATTCATCTTCTCTTGCACTGTTTATGTAGCCTACTTTGATCTTGAAACGAAAATTTGGACAATCAAATCGTTCAGTATTTTCATCGTGCGTTATTACTCTTTGCTCTCAAATGATCTCTCTCAATTCCAAAAACACATAGTTACACTTCTCTTTTCACGTTCTATTCCTTTAGTGGATCCTAAGCAAAAACTTTCTTTCAACGTCTCCACAAATGTTCAGATGTTGTATGATCAAAATTGATTTGTGTCTTTCTTCTGGTCGTTATTATAAGGTTCTCTTGCAATTGTTGCACTCTATGAGATCTAGTACACGCACTGCATTCCAAGTATCGATTTTTGACATGCGCTACCCTAAATATGAAATTTTTCTCAGAAAGGATTCAATTTTTGAAGTGCACAGGTAGTCAGCTACTGCTATATTGAACTTATGCTAAGCGTTTTTGCGCAGGACGATATATGTTTTTTTTTGAACATCAAAAGGAATCCCATTCTTCCTTGCTTTTAAAAATTTTTTATCTTGAGACTATCTCAAGTTTGCGGAGGAGAAGTTTCAGCCAAAGTTATCAAAACGCTCAAATATAAAAAGCGTAACCAAAGGTTTCAAAAATCATGCATCAGAATTACACACGAACAGCAGAAAAAAAAATACAACTCTTGCTTTATAGAAATTTTCCACATTTACAACGCAGATAGCGACGTCTCATATAGAAAACTGCCTTTTCAAAATTGCTTTCTTGTTTTGATAGACTCGGGTTAATTCTTGATAAAGAAGTGCTTGCCTTGAATGTCTCAAAAGGGCAAGAACATGTTCTTTCTTTATCTTGCA